CCAAATTAGCAAAGAAACAAGTGAAAGAGATGAATGCCTTAAGAACTTGTGAAGAACTTAGAGCTTTGAAGGTCATGATGGTGGAGAGCGTGATCATGAATGTCGTGGCTGCTCCTATCTTTATATAGAAGATACGTCGGTTTTAGGGTAAACCCCTTGAAAATTTGGAGATAACGTCGAAAAATGAAAATTTCTCAATTTCCTCTAATGAGGTGATCGATCACCTCAGGTGTTCGGTCGATCGATCATCTCAGGTGTTCGGTCGATCACCTTGTTAATTCGTTTATGCGTCAAGACCAGGGGCTTCGTGTCCGATCGATCATTCCATGCGTCCGATCGATCACTATTGAATATCTTTGAACCGTCTTTACCTTGATCCTTACTCGAACATATTTTAGTAGATTGATTATATCTCAAGATTTAACCGTCGGATTGTGGCGACCGAATATTCATTTTGAAGCTAAATCCTCCTCTATCTCATGGTAAAATATGAGCTTGATTTGACGGTGAGAACTTACGCATCTAGAGAGAAACATCTTCCCGTCAAGATTTGTCCATCCTAAAAGCCTTGATTTCACTATTTTTATGCCCAAAATGCTCCTAATCCCTACATTGACTTCAAAACCCATGAAAATACTATAAATAGCATGTTAAATCCAAAAAACATTAATTTCTTTATTAAAAACATATAAAAAATATAAGAAAAACGGGTAAATTAACGTATATATCAACTCCCACAGACTTCAACCTTTGTTTGTCCCCAAACAAACGCCAGCGATAGTATAGAAAAGAGGTATGAAAATAACATGAACTCACTTATCTTGGGAACATTGCATTGCGCCATTGACTCGCGACATACGAACAAATCGCTCCAGGACGTGTTTATCGAATCCCGTCACGACCATCACAAGTCTTGTCCATGAACCTTGACCGATTTTTAGTATGTTTTAATTGGGTTTTTAATTAATAAATTACATGGTTTTGGCATTTAATTTCTATTTTTAGTATTTTCGTGGGTCTTTAAACCTTTGTAGGTAATTGGAGCATTTTGGGCCTAAAAGAAGAAGAAGCCAGCCCTTTTAAAGAAAAGATAGATTCTGTCCGTCAGATGTTTCCCTTCAGATGAAGATGTTCCCACCGTTGGATCGAGCTCAAGTCTTTCCACGAGATAGATAG